GTAATCTTTACTGGGGAGCTCTGGTAGCATAGTGGCTAAGACATTTGCCTGCTAACCAGACGGCTGGCGGTTCAAACCCACCAGCCACTCCTCGGAAGAAAGGTTGGGCAATCCTACTTCCGTAGTGATACTGCCTTGGAAGCCCAAGGAGGGGTCGCTATGAGTCGGGTTTGACTCGACGGCACATAACAACAACAACAACAATCTTTACTGGAGCAGATCGCCAGCTCTTCTCTCCCCTGCAGCAGCTGGTGGGTTCAAACTACCAACCTTTCGGTTACTGCGCATTTACCTACTGTGCCACCAGCGCTCCTTATCATTAGCTATACTCACTCAATCTTATTATATGGTTTACAGTAACTTAGTAATCAACAGTATCACAGTTGTTTAATGTACATATACAGGCCTATTTTAAAAAATAATTCACTACTGAGAAAACACTGCCAATCTGTAATTCTATTTAAACAATTAATTTAGATTTTACCTTTCAAATTCTATTACACAGATACCCAAAAGCTGGTATTTGAGGAAAAGGTTTTCAGTACAGAGTTTATACAGTAAGTAGATGATTGTAAGAGACATTTTTAACCTAATCATATAAAGCACTTCCCATTTAAAAAAAAAAAAAAAGTATCTGCACCTATACCTGTAGTTTTAGTCAAAAGGAATCCAGTAACTATAAAAGCATACACTTTTAAACTTCATACTAAGTCAGCCTGGCATTTTCCTCCAAACACATTAGGTCTCAGTGTACCTGAAGACATGGAAGCTAAGTAATACCAAGTATAACTCCTTTCTTTTCTTCTTTGGGTTGTACAACAGACGGCTACAACCACAAAAATGAAACTCAATTTAGGATCATGATCTGTCCACAAGATTATTTTAAACTTTGATCATGATTCTAAGCAAGGAAGCAGTATTTACATATTCAAAAAGTCCTGAATACTCACAGGGAAGCTACTATGCTAGAGAAACTAAGAATTTAAAAATAAGCCCACACGCACAAATTAAAAGGACACTAGCTTCAAGGATTATACAATCTAGTGAGGGGAATTACATATGATCTGCAAAGGGTAATTTCTGAATCTGTTAAACATGCCCCTGAAGCATGAGTGTAAAGAAAGAACTTAATTCCCAGAGGAAAAAATAACTGGTACAAAAGAAGCAGTCTAAATTCAAGTGGTATAATGAGGATCAGCTATAGTTGGTTCCCCTGGATACAAGAGAAATGGTAACTCCAGCATCTATTTACTTACTTACTTACACTTCTAAGTGTGATATGGCTCAACTAACTACAAAATCCAAACTAAATTCATTGCTGTTGATTCTGACTTACAGTGACTCTACAGGACAGAATAGAACTGCCCCACAGGGTTTCCAAGGCTTTAAATCTTTACAGAAGCAGACTGCCACATCTTTCTACTGCGGAGCAGCTGGTGGGTTGGCACTGCCATTCTCTTGGTTAGCAGCTGAGTGCTTAACCACTGCACCAACAGGCCTCCTTCAACTAACTCACTGGTGTATAAAAAGTAGAAAGGAATTTTAAAAATATGAATTATATTAAATAGCTAATACAAAGTAAAATAATGCAAACTGTTCAGATCTCAGTAAGATCTGAAAAAAAATCCATGTTTCCAGATTGACTGTAGACCACAGCTTCTCAACTTCTTTTCTGAAGTGGTCATAACCCTCTGCCATAGATTTATAAATAGAGGTTTACGTCATGGGTTATATGGGATATTCCAATATATATGGGTAAACCCATATTCTATCAAATTTTGAAAAAGGTGGGAGGGAAATCAAATACTACAAAAACTCAAAATTGATACAAATATTAGCAGTACAGCAGTATTAGCTCCTTAACAGGAGTTGTGGTAGACGGCAGTGGTGTAGTTCATACCAACTCCTGCATGCCAGCTGCAACTGCACACATTTCTCTTCTACTCAGCAATGCTTATCAAAATGCAAGTACGGGGAGGGGGGGAAGCAAGTGAATCAGTAACAATATAATGTTAACTTTGAATTTTATGTTTTGAAAAGTAAATGAGTCACAAGTGAAATATTAATATAAACAATACTTTGTATGAGTAATAATTAACTTCTGTATGAATAATAATTAACTTGTGACACCTCACACGATGGTGGCATTCATGTGTTGGGACACCATGATTAATAATCACTGTTCTAGAATTTTATCAAGCTTTTAGAAAATAAAACCATGTTTCTCTGAATACAGAGATTTACATAAGGAATTTTAAACTTAAAGCTAATAAATTTATAAAATTGTTAGTAAGGAAAAAAAATTCTGTTTATATAATCAAGGATACTGGGAGCTCTGGCAGTGTAGTTCCTAAGGCACTTGACTGCTAACCAGAAAGCTGGTGGTTCAAACCCACCAGCCACTCCTCGGAAGGAAGGTTGGGCAATCTACTTCCGTAGAGATACTGCCTCAGAAACCCAAGGAGGGGTCGCTATGAGTTGAATGTGATGGCACATATAACAACAACAATCAGGGGTATCAGACTCTTAGCCTGAAACAAAGCCTTTGCTGATGTCCTCATCTGCATTTAAGATACATACCAACTGTGACTGTTTGAGATTATAAATAAGCAGACAAAAGGTGGCATAAGGGATCGCATTACATAAACTGATATGCAGAGTTAGAAGATCGGCTTGCACAGGGGAGAGTCATAGGGCAACAGGATAGCAGCATCCCAGAGTGAAGAAGAGTAAAACCTGTGAAAGCTGGAACCTGCAGAAAGTGGAAACTTGTCAGAGAAGGAAAACGAAAATATCTTCCATTAATAGAAAGTGACAGAAAAATGGTTAGGACAGCATCCTGTCAAAGGTGGGAAACCATGAGACCTAGGAAAATTAGTCAGTCCATAGAGTTCTAGCTCTCACAGATTTCACTGCAAATGCTACGAAAAACAGTAAACATCTAAGTGTCAGAACTCCAATGAGAACAAGTGCGAATGCACCGTAATGGTCAATATACCAGGGTCCATCTCCATCTAAACCCTTTCTCAATGTTTCAATTCAGAGACTTGAAGTTTTATCACAGGAGATCTGATTATATGATGTAAATCAAAGAGAAACAAATTTTGACTATTATATATGTAGAACACGGATTGGCAAATTTTTTCCCTATAAAGGGCCAGACAGAAACTATTGTAGGTTTTGCAGATCAGTTTCTATTCCATTTTTTAACCACCCTTTAAAAATATAAAACCCATTCTTAGCACACTGGCTGTATAAAAACAAGCTGTACAGACCAAATCAGGCCATAGTGTGCAGACCCCTGATGTGGAAGCAAAGAAATTCTCAACTACCAAGACTCCCAAAAACAAACCCCTCTTTTTCTTACAACTTTAAATAATTTCAGATAGAAAGGAATCAGAGGTTCAAAGGACTGTAAGGGCATACGATCTAACTTAACTAATTTTCCAAGTAATTTGCTCAAGCAGAAGAAAAATGTTCATTTCACTCTCTCTACTCCTTCTACTTTTGGAATGCTTACACTCAAATTTGAGACTTTCTTCTAAAATAAAGTATACTGGAACTTTGTCTATAGTCACAGCTTAAAATATTTGTTTACCAGAAACTTTTTCTTACATTCTATATTATAATCAAGAAATTCAAGCCAAAACTGTAATTATGAAAAACTTACAATAATTTTTAATTAATATTAGGCCGTGATGGGGCTTAAGGAGGCTTAGAATTCAGTGAACTGAAATATTGTGAAGCCATCGGGTTGGCTTCAGAGTAGAAGCCTTACTAGAGCTGCTAGGTGGAAGGGACCAGTTATATGACATTGAAGAATCAAGGTAAGCAGGGCTTGGTGAACAGCCATTGCTTCTCTCATCAAATGCTTCTAAAACACACTAGGCTACCAAGCAAATATCTTATAGGAAGAGTCCAATCTATTCTGCCTATGATTTTTCTATTATAGTAAAATTGAATTAGGAACAACATTTTAAAACCACTCCTCAAAGTTAGTTATATAAAGAAAGCACATTCTCATTTTCCTTCCAATGGTAGAAGTAAAGCTTATTCTTTGTACCTGAGATTTTGAGTTGTTCCCACAAGTACTTCTGATTAAAAGTCTACTTTTATCATACATGAAGAGAGTCTCTAAACCAAAACAGGTATAGTCAGATATTCAAAATCAACTTTCCAAGAATTTAGAACTTGAATTTAAAAACTGCTTTCTAAAACATTGTTTCTTTCATGTGTGTCAATTTTGAAAATAGAAGTTTTAAATCTCTTAAACCAAAAAAACCAAACTCATTGTGCCACTGAGTCAATTCCAACTCACAGCAACCCTGTAAGACAGAGGAACTACCCCACAGGTTTCCAAAGCTGTAAATCTTTACCAAAGCAGATTGCTTCATCTTTCTCCCACAGAGTACCTGGTGGGTTTGAACCGCTGACCTTTTGGTTAGCAGCCCAAGCCTTTGAGCACTGCGACATGAAGACCTTTTTAAACACACTTGTTGTTGTTATGTGCCGTCGAGTTGGAGTCAACCCCTAGCGACCCCCTCCTTGGGTTTCCGAGGCAGTATCACTATGCTACGGAAGTAGATTGCCCCATCTTCCTTCCGAGGAGGGGCTGGTGGGTTTGAACCGCCAGACTTCTGGTTAGCAGTCAAGTGCCTTAGGCACTACGCTACCAGAGCTCCTTTAAACACACCTACACAACAACATATAAATTTATAAAATATTATCACCGATTAACCACGTATTATCCAGGGCATTTAAGAAATGCCATCACGTATTGGTTTCTGAAACATCACAATTCTATCAAGTACATATTTGTAAAAATTTTCATTTTAGATATGTGGTAATGTGTTTTCTACACATCACTTCCTCACTTTTCAGCTAAGAAGAATTTGACTCCTTTATGATTAAAGAACTAGCATGCCCTCCTTCATTAAAAATTATTAAAGGAAACAATCATTACTTCTTAATAATTCTTAAGTGGCTCCTAAATCTTCCTTTTATTCTACTGAATTTAAAAATTCTTCTTCTTGAAGTTGCAATTTGAAGTCCTCTCTGATAGTTTCTAGCAACTTTGGTTTAAAGATAACATCCAGCGCAGTCATTGCCAGAGCTTTGGCTGTACGCAAAGTGTAGAACTGAGCTTCTTGTGCTCCTAAAAAGGTAGAGAAAATAAATTAAATTATTCTCCATATTTATTACAAACTAATTCATTAATTTTCCAAGTTCATTGTCAATATTTAATTTACCTCTCCAATTTCTCACCACAATATAGTATTTTCTGAGGTTTGCAAAGTAATGAAGTAAGAATAAGATAAACTAAACAGTCAGAAAGGCAGCTGCTGTTAGAGAAAGCACACACCAAAACATTCACTTCTAGTAACACTTACCTGCAGCTTCAGTATATTGTTCGGTATGATTCAGGGCTTTAGAGCCAATGTAAAAATATGGATGAATTCCAGGAACCACAAAAGTCACATTTCCAAAATCAGTAGATCCTTGGAACACACAAAGAAAGAAAAGTATATTTGATCATTATTTTTGAGTTATGAAGTGATAACCAGAATTGTATACTTGGTTATAGTTCTATACCCTGCTAGAGGAGATCTAGAGAAGCAAACTTCTTGGAAAGTTGTCCATATGCTGCTCATTATTTTCACTGCTTCACCATCTACGGAGTCCTCAATCTACAATCCTCTTCTATCTCCATCAGTCACCACAGCAGCCCTCACTGAAGGTTGCTAAAGACCTACCCTCCCCAGATGCCATAGCTATTTTTCAATGTTAATCATACTTGCCCTCTCAATAGCACTCCACACTGTCAACTATTCCTTCCTCTCTCCCTGTCTAACACAGCACTTGCCTGTTTCCCTTCTGCCTGTGATGTCCCCGTCTTCCGTCTCTTTGGAGTGTCGCCTCCTCTGGCCATGAAATATTACTCAAGATTCAATTCCAGGTCCCTTTCTCTTCTGACTCCATAGTCTCTCTCTAGATTTTGTCCATTATCTACTGTTTCAAATTATCAACTCAAATTCATTCTCAGTCTCCTATAAGCTCCACACCTGTATATTCAAATGCTAGCTTGGAATATGACACTTAGCATACCCAAAGTCAAATTCATGATCTTCCTGTTCCATCACCTCTACAACATTTGGTCCTCTTCTCTAAGCTCAGCCATCCAGCCAATTCTAACTCAAAGCTACCTTGTGTGTGTCAGAGAACCGTGCTCCAAGGGTTTTCAACAGCAGATTTTTCAGAAGTAGATCATCAAACCTTTCTTTCTGAGGTGCCTCTGCATGGACTTGAACTTCTAATCTTTTTGTTAAGAGTGGACCACATTAACTATCTGCAATACCCAGGGACTCCCTGTCAATGATACTTCCCAAATATTTCAGAATTATACACTTTTCTTATCACGAACACTTGCTCCCAATCAGTCTGAGCCATCATCATCTCTTGCCTAAACTAATAGTCTCCTAATTGGCTAGCATCATCTACTCTCTCTGCCAGTATTTTTTTCAATTTTCACATGATCTACAAAAGCCTTATGTGGTCTGCCTCCATTAACCTTTCCATAGCCCAGCTACTCTACACATTTACCATGTTCTCTCCTGAACCAAATCTTTTGTACATGAACCCTTCTCCCCCGCTTCACCTACTTAATTCCTACTCACTTTTAAACAGCATCTTCAACTTCTTTATTTCACCTCCTTAGTAAGGTTAATTCCTCCAGCATAAGCTCTTATAGACTACATTACACTCCTTCATAGCACTTTTCAGTTTTATTTAGTTTCCCATTTATTGGATTATTTGACTAATGTTTAACTAGTCATTAACTAGATGATTAAGATCTATAAAACCAAAAATTGTATCTTAAATCACCATGAATATGGCCTGTCACATGACTGACAAATATCTGTTGAATAACTAATAGTAAAAACAATGCATTGAACTCACTCATTAGGTATTTATTGAATGCTTCCTGCGTGTTAAATACATGCCAGGCAAAGTTAGACTACACAAGAATGAGCAGTAAAGGAATAAAGAAAGCAAAATAATATGTAACAAACAGCAGCTAACACTTAGCTAGAATTACCATGCTGCAAACACAGTGTTGACTACTTCATGTGTATTCTCATTAACATTTTGAACAATTACCATTGTACAGTAACATGAAGAAACCAAGAATTACAGATAATAAATAACTTGTCACAGTCTCACAGCTACTAGTTAATGGTAAAGCCAGGCTGAAGCCAGACTTTGAACCCAGGCAACATGGCCTCCATGAAAATGTACTGCTTCAGGAAATAATTCACTAAGCACTTAACTGCACCACAAATGGCTCCAGGCACTGAAGATACAGTGATTATGGTAGAGCAGTATACAAGACAGATGAAGGCCTTGCTGCATATTTAAAGATCTTACTTGTAGAGCTAGACCACTGTCCCTACAAATCAGTCAAATTATAGCCACTTTATTCTACTGTTTTGTCCATTATCTATAAAACCCAAACCTGGGGAGATCTAACTTGCACCTTTATCTCCTAAAGTTAGACTACAGAAACCTGCTAGGGTAAAAGTACCTGACCATGATATTACCATGACAACAAATTCATGGTCTTCAACCTCAGTTGACCTCTCAAAGAGGTTCAGGGAAAAGCAAGATAAAACAAAAAAAACTCTTGATGTCCCTGGGCAACCCCTCTAGGTAGCTATTCTCTTTCAATCCTCCACTCCACCACCTCAAAGCTTACTCATATGCTTACCAACTCCTTCACAGGAAGGAAGTGTCTGAATTCCCTGCCCTCTTTACTCAACAACACTTACCTGCATTTGCATTTACATTTACCCTTGGCTCCTGACACCCATCTCAGCAGAATATGTATCTATCATCCTAATCACAGCTAAACTTGCTATCCATGTTTCAGATGCTATCCTTTCTGACATCAAGAATTCTATTTTATCAGTCACTTCCTTCTCTACTTACATCTTCAACTTCTCCCTCCCTATGGCTCTTCCCCTTCAATCTGCTTAAGGATCTTCCTTTCAAAGATCTTTTCTTTTCCCTGCCTCCCTCAAGCAGGTATCCACCTCTTCTATATTCCTTTAAAGCTAACTTCTTGAAAAGAATAGTCATCCTCTGCTATCTTCACTATCTCACCTATCAGTACGCAGAGAAGTAAAGTCTGGCATTTGGTCCCACCAGCCTTCAACTATTTTCTTCAAGACAATCTATGAGTTTCTAATTGTTAGTACAATGGATACTAGACCATGCTTATTTTATTCAACCTCCATAGTGCCTAAAATGACTTATCCTTCCTTCCTTTCTAGAAATTTTCTAGTTCCTTGTCTTCCATGAGATGCCATTCTCTCCTGGTATCTGGCTTTTTCTCGGTCCATTCTCTATATCCTCCTCTTGATCCCTTCCTTTGTCTATCGCTTAACTGCTGGTGATTTCCAGTGTTTCACCTTTGGGCCTCTTCTCTCTATGTACCTATGTACTTCAGCAACTCACTAACATGTGTAGCTTCAATTATCTCCCATATACTGATAACTCCTAAATCTCCAACCTAGACGTATCTTTTAAAATCAGGTTTAAAATAAAGGGCATGCATCAGGGTTGTACCCTTTTATCACACTTATTCAATCTGTATACACTGAGCAAATAATCAGAGAAGCTGGGCTATATGAAGAACACAGCATCAGGACTAGAGGAAGACTCATTAACAACCTGTGATTTGCAGATGACACAACCTTGCTTGCTGAAAGTGAAGATGACTTGAAGCACTTAATGATGAATATCAAATACTACAATCTTCAATATGGATTACATGTCAACATAAAGAAAACAAAAATCCTCACAACTGGACCAATAAGTGACATCGTGATAAATGGAGAAAAGAGGTAAGTTGTCAAAGACTTCATTTTATTTGGATCCACATCAACACCCATAGAAGCAGCAGTCGAGAAATCAGATGTCATACTGCACTGGGAAAATCTGCTGCAAAAGATCTTGTCAAAGTGTTGAAGAGCCAAGATGTCACTGTGAAGACTAAAGTGCATCTAACCCAAACCACGGTATTTTTAAATGCCTCATATTATGGGTATATGGGTATGAAAGCTGGACAATGAATAGGAAGACCGAAGAACTGATGCCTTCAAATTTTGATGTAGGCAAAGAATACTGAAAATAACAGGGACAGCCAGAATGAACAAATATAGCCTGGAGGAAGTACAGCCAGAATGTTCCTTAGAAGTGAGAATGGTCAGACTTCTTCTCACCTGTTTTGGTCATGTCATCAGAAGGGACCAGTTCCGGGAGAAGGGTATCATGCTTAGTTAAGTGGAGGGTCAGAAAAGAAGGGAAAGACCCTCAATGAGATGTATCACAGAGGCTGCAACAATGGGTTCAAGCACAGCAAGGACTGTGAGGATGACGCAGGACTGGGCAGTGTTTCCTTCTGCTATACACAGGGTCACCATGAGCTGGAATTGGCTCGACGGCACCTAACAACAACAGATGTATATTTTGGGGGTTCCAGACTCAACCAGACTATTGGACAACTCAGAAATTCGAGAAAAAACAAAACAAAAACCCTCATTGCCTCAAGTCAATTCTGACCCCATAGGATTTCAAAGGCTGTACATCTTTATAAAAGCAGACTGCCACATCTTTCTTCCACAGAGTGGCTGGTGGGCCCGAACTGCTGACCCTTTAGTTAGCAGCCAAATGCCTTAGTGACTATACCACCAGAGTGCCTCAGAAATCCTTAATCAAAAAAACCCCCACTGCCATCAAGTTGATTCCAACTCATAGCAACCCCTCACAGGGTTTCCAAGACTGTGACTCTTTATGGAAGTAGACTTCATCTTTTTCTGTGGAGCAGCTGGTGAGTTCGAACACCATTCTCCTGGTTAACAGCTGAATGCCTTACATGGCACCACCATAGCTCCTTTAGAAATCCTATAGGGATCTCAAATTTAACATGCTAAATAATTTATACCAATTTATACCCCAAACATGGAAGTAAGACGAGAAATCAAATGATATATTGCATTGGGCAAAACTGCTGCAAAAGAACTCTTTAAAATCTTGAAAAGCAAAGCTGTCACTTTCATGATTAAGGTGCAGCTCACCCAAACCATAAGGAGCTCTGGTGGCATAATGCCTAAGGCATTTGACTACTAACTGGAAGGTTAATGGTTCAAACCCACCAGTTGCGCTCTGTGGAAGGAAGATGGGGCAATCTACTTCCATAAGGATTTACCTCCTCAGAAACCCAATGGGGGTCACAACAAGTTGGAATCGACTTGATAGCAGTGAGTTTTTTTTTGTTTTTTTTTAGTTTAACCCAAGCCATGGTATTTTCAATCACCTCATATGCACGTGAAAGCTGTATGTGGTGGTTATGTTTGTGTGTCAACTTGGCTGGGCCTGGTTGAGTGGCTGGGCAGCTGGATGTAGTATTCCCCATGATGAGACTAGTAATCAACTCCATGGTGGAATCAACTGTGAGCAGCTGAGTAGCTGCCTCTGGATATGTGGTCTGCTTCCCGTATATAAGTAGTAGCTTTGGGAATGGTCTCTAGCTTATGACATGCTTGGACCCTGCATGTAGACATGTCGTGGTTCAGCAGCTGCCATGCTCTGCCGACCTTGGGACTTACAATGAACTTGAATTAATGACCTGCTGTGTGGTTTGGTAACATCGAGACTTTGTCTTTTTACTTGTCAACCTTGGGTTTGTCAGTCTCGGCAGGCAGCAGCTGTCTGACTGCAGAAACACTTCTAGCTCCAGTGGGCTGGGAACAGGAGGCAGAGCTGGACCTCAAAGTTGAGGGGCTTTTACCCAGCCCCTAGAGCCTGGCACTTTAAACTTGGACTTCTAGCCTCCTGAACTGTAAAAGAATAAACTCCTGTTTGTTCAAGCCATCCCATTTGTGGTATATTCTTGTCAGAGTGGCACTAGGTAACCAGAACACTGTACAATGAAAAGGAAGGGCAAAGAATTAATGCATTCGAATTGTGGTGTTGACAAAGAATAATGAATAATGTACCATGGATTGTCAGAAGTATAAACCAATCAGTTTTGGAGAAAGAATGTTCCTTAAAAGTGAGGATTTTAAGAATTCATCTCGCTTACTTTGCACAAGTCATCAGTAGGGACCGATCAACTGGAGAAAGACATTATACTTGGTAAAGCCAAGGGTCAGCAAAAAAGAGGGAGACCCTCAATGAGATGGATTGAAATAGTGGCTGTAACAATGGGCTCAAACACACCAACAATTGTGAGGATAGCACAGGTCTGAGCAACATTTAGTTCCATTATACACAAAGTCACTATGAGTCACAGATGACTGGACTGCAACTAGTAGTAACAACATACCCCAATCTGTCCCTTCTCTTGAACTCCTTATCTCAATGAATGACATTGACACCCACTGTAATAACCAAGTCTCTTTTGAGTCTACTTCATCAACACCTACTATTACATTTTATAAGATATAGCTCTAACTTGCAAACATATTAGTAATAATATCCTTTGAAAGGGAAAGAATTCAATGGAACCCTAAAATACACTGATGAGTTAAAGTCTAACAGTTGTCTTTATTCCTCAGAAACTCAAAATGCCCCAGATAAACTATGTATTTACCTTACTGGGAGGACAGAGAAAAAATTAAAATTCTATTTTCCTTTGTGATAGTTTACTTAAAAATTAGAACTAAACAAATCTAAGCACTAGAAATACTTGAAATACAGAGCAAAAAATGGGTTATCTATTTCTAAAAACAAATCTGCTCATTTGACATGCACTCATGGCAGAGTTCGTTAGTTCCTTTCCCCTAACCATTAAAGGTATCAATGGTTAAACCCCTTCCTACCACTAGCCTCCCAGTCATTAAACAAAACCATTTAACCAAAGATGGTATTTTCTCCTCATATAGCTCAATATATAACAAAAGCATTTAATTACCTGATGGGCCATTTAACATTGCATCTTCTGAAATAAATTCTATTCCCAGCTTTTTCCCATTTTCCATATAAGCTTTCCATAGGCTCTTATTGGGAAGAACATTGTAATAATCATGTGCTCCACCTTTAATTTCTACCTAATAAAAAATTATAAAACAAATGTTAAAATAAAACTCAAACTATTTAATTTTCAAACCAGTGACATATCTTCAACAAAAAGGTTTTAAGAGGAAACACTTTCCCCTTGGATATAAACTTGCTCAAATCTCTTATCTTAAAAAATATATGTACTTTTTATAGCAACAATTCCTAGGACCTGCTCTCTTTTCTGTTATACATGCACCAAAACTACACAATTATCACATAAGTCTACTGGCCAGTGAATGTCAACTTCAGTCAGCTAAATAGAATATGGGGTAGACACCAGAAATCTTCATTTGAACCAGTACCCTCCAAGTAATGCTGATGCATCCTGTTCAAAATCCACACTCTGAGAAACCCTGCTCTAGACTGCAGCTTCCACAAGAAAGACAATAAGCTTTACTAACATTCAATATACAATGTACCAGTAACACCATAGCCTGATCTGAAAGACATAAAAGTACCCTGAGAGAAAAACAGAAGTTTCACAATGACTAAGGGTAGACAATAGCCCAAATTTATCAATCTCAGTATATAAACATGTATCAAAACCAAAACCATTGCCATTAAGTCAATTCTGACTCATAGTGACATAAGACAAAGTTCCCCTGGGTTTCCAAAGCTGCAAAATTATATAGGAGCAGACTACCACATCTTTCTCCTTTTAGCTAGCAGCCGAATGCTTTAACCACTGTACCACCAAGGCTCCTTCACATGTTCCCAGTTAAGTGGATTTTCAAGTTTAGTTTTTGATTAAATAAAAATGGGCAAGAGTCCCTCAAACTAAACACCAGTAACACAAGCAAAAACAAGCATAAAATGGGAGAGAT